AAATACCTCTCTTTCTCTTTCGAAGTTTTGAACTGTTTCATTCAAAGCACACAAATCCCCTTGTAAAGCAATCCTCTCGTTGCTGTAACCATTGACTTGTCGCTGTAAAGTATCTTTTTGCTCTCCCAAAATGTTGTTCTTGCTATTCAGTTCTTGAATTGAGTGTTGGAGGGCAGAACATTCCTCTTTAAAAGCATTTCTTTCGTCCGCATATCGAGAAAGTTGAGCATCTTTKTCGTGGTTTTGTTTTTCAAGGTCAGCAATAGTTTCACTAAGACTTTGTAATTCTTGTTGAATAATCTGTTTTTCTTCTGATAATTGATCTACTTTATTGTCAAACGACTCCTGCAAATATAAGAGGAGATTATGATTTGAACTGATTTATAAATAAATAAATWAAAATAAAATAGTAATGAACAAACCTTTTCGCTTTCGTTACTTGCGTCTTTCTCCGCTAACAGCTTGTCCAAACTCGCTTTAAGTTCCTAATCAATTTGCAAACAAATTTTATCACTTATTTGACCTGACTTTAAATCCATCMTGCATCCCGTCCATTCATATTTTCGTTTAATCATCCCAGTCTATAAATACACATTTTTTTAGTACCTTATTCTCTTTTGTAATTGTATTGAAATCTTCTTGTAATGACTTGAAGGAGAGGTTTAATTCATCCCGTTCAAAGGTAACATTCTCATTTTGCTTTTTCAGAGCCTGTTAAAATGCAAGACGGTCAACTATCAAGCGGAGATCATTTTATTGCTTTACTTTGCATTTATTTSGTTTTCACTAATRAATACTTAGAAACTTGTYAGATTGTAGTACAAAATGTGTAGCAGAGGCAAACAAAACTCTTCTGGTCACAACARAGACGTTTCTTGAGTCCCCTACATGCGAATATTAATCGCTTGAGGTCCGCAACACCTGAACAGGGTGGAMGAAACGCCACACGTATCAAATAGCCGGCTTTTAATCTTTCTTTCTGAGTATTCAGTCGAAGCCATTGATTGATTTGTTTCTTAATATCAATGTTACCTCGATAGTTTCATCGATATTTTTGTACTGTTCGCTGTATTCCTTGACCTTCGCTTGTAAATTYTCATTCTCCAAGTACACCCTTTCAAAATCGGAAAGCAATTCCTGCAACGAGGAAGAAAACACTAAAGCAAACAAGAYACATCATTTGATCATCAAAAACAAACTCACCTTGTTTTTGTTTTCTATTTCTTTCGACTCTTTCTTCACTTCAGTCATTGACGATTCTAATTCTTCCTTTTCGAGTTTTAAAAGGGARAGTCGYTTCTTGATTTCCTGTAAACAGAAATTGGCTAAGACATCGCTGGTCATTGTACACAAATATTGAGTTTTTCGAAAAAGATGTTTCAAAAAGCTGTTTTGACACTATGGTTACGATAAATGCATATTTCACTATGCTAAATTTATATTTTTGCAACGGAGGACGTTGCATAGTGATAATGAGAAGAAGACTTTGTTGATGAAACATACCTTTGGGGGAAGACGACTGAGGTCTTCTTGAGAAGAACTGACGCCTTGTACTTTGGATTTTAATTTCTATWGTGAAACAATACCTAAATAAGCATTTACACATCGGGATTATTTACGCGAATAAATAACCCTAAGTGTGAAAAGCTCTATCTACCGGACAAATACTTAACCAGGATAACTTTATCCACTCTTAGTATATATCCGGCTCTAAACCTTATTTTCAATATTTGGATGAGACAGCAAAACCTCGTTACCCCCTCCCTCCCCCCACTTTCTCTTAGTTTTGGGGCTTAGAACGACTAGATTGAATAGTAATATGAAATATATCATCATCAACATCATTATCTCTACCATCGACGTGTCACGATCAAGAATGTCATCATCATCAGTTCTGACCATCACTGGTCTAAACTGATCTCATAACTCACCTCATAATTAACCTTTAAAGTTTTATACGCTTTGACGACTTTCTCTTTTTCACCTTTAATTTTATCCAGCTGATCGCACAATTCCTATTTCCGCAAMAATGAAACGAAACATGGCGTTAAAACATKAAATCCTGTTGAAAATTATAAATGCTAGTCGAATATACTGCGTGAGTCAGTCAGTGTTACTCCTAAAGAGGTTTTGCCGAATTATGCCGTTAAAAATGCAGGGATTATTGCCGCAATTCAAAGATAGCTCATGCACAAAAGCCATTAGTACGAGATTGGGCCTTGGGAGAGAGACATTTTTTTTCAGTGCAACTCTTTCTTACAAATATATATTTATTATTAATATTTTCTGATTCAAATGGAAGAAATTTATGAACTGTACAAATTTTGCGCCTCTATGCGCATGCGTTTGCAACCTCTGTACGTGTATTCCAATGTCACCGCAGGCGCAGTAGCTAGTAAAAATAGTTTTACCTTTACATAAAACTTATTTTCATCGAGTTCCTTTTGCACGGCGTCAAACTCCATTTCGACCTCCTGACGGTTAAATAATTACAATCAACCACCGCGGTTGCTTCTGAGGGAATTGATTTTGGAGTGTTGTTTTGCAAGTGCCTGAAGTGCTGGTTGTGAATTCTTTTTTGTGCACGTGATTGCACTAGACCATTTAGTGATTAGCAATTAAATCAACAAATTATACGTACATAATGGTTAAAAAAAAGCARAGAAAAAGCAAATTGTGGACAGAAAAGCAATGTTTGCTTGCAAGTAAGGTATGTGTACAATCAAATTAACTTATATCAACTATAAAATATATAGAACATTACAAATTTAAAAATGTTTGACTTTCATGCTATCGTTTGCATTGTTTTAGACATTGTTTTGTAGGGAAGTTTATAACATAACAATAAGGGAAAGAAAAAATAGCAGAAAAAGGAAATACTCCCATTATTTCCCTGAGTGCCATTGTGAAAGATAAGTCAGATAGTGTTTTAGATTGCAGTACTAGATAAAACATCAGGGGTGGTGGAGCCAAAATTGACTTGGGGAGGGAGGGAGGGGCACAATCATAGACTTATAGTGATGACGTAACATCAACTTTTGCAAATGCATTTTACTATGACAAAAAAATGAATTATTGAATGTTTTGCCACCCCTGAACACGTTTTGCAGTCTGCCTGCAGAATTTGTGTGTCACAAATAATGTTTCCAAGGTGGCTTAACCAAAACATTGAGAGCATATGTGGGTTACAGGTCATTATGAGAAATATTCACAGGTATCTAGCTTTACAAGCAAATATGAAGGGCATGTGGGCTTTAGAAAGCTAAAAGGCCAAAAAAAAAAAAGAAAACTGCAAAACTTAATATATATAGTCCTAAAAACAGGGCTATTTTTCAGGATGGTAYTGGTAACCATAAAATAGGGCATTGTGAAAAATGAAAATTGACATAAGAAGGGGAATATATTGAAGTCAGCAGTTTTGTAAAGAAAGAATTATAGTTAAAAACGTTTACTTACCTTCTTGGATTCATCAGTTCCCTCAAATTCTAAATGCATGTTATCCAAAGTGTTCTTCAGATGTTGATTTTCATATACAAGTTTCTTTGGGAAATGGTATAAATTAATGAATGAATAAATGGAAAACTGAAAGATGAGCTGGATAAATGAAATGTGGTACACAGGAATCAAAACTGTTATGCTAATCAATACCTCATTGTTTTCTTTCAAAATCTGATTTTCCTGAATGAGTTGAGCCTTGACATCATCTGCTTCACCAGATTCAAAGTGCATTCCAAGTGTTTCCTCCATTCTCTTCAGCCTGCAYAGTAATTCATTCCTCTCAGCTTGAAGCTGTATTAGGTCTTCATCAACAGAAGGCTGTTAAGAAATTACATTTTATTTCATGATCAAGATGAATTTCACCAATTGATCCCCTCTTTTCAAACAAGAAGAAATAACATCATTCAATAGTAACGACAGTGATTTCCTAAGCTCAGTTTGCATTTATARTCATTTCTAAGATTATACCATATTTTCCCATGTGTGTCCATTTGTGACCATTAGAGGCCTGAAGACAATCCTGTCCCTGGTTTCTCCTTATACAAACAGCTATMATCAAAACTGATGTCATTTGTTTGACAGCGGTCTACTGCTAATTGCCAACTCAAAATTACACCTGGATTGGTCATATAGCTCAAAACAAACAGCTTAAACAATTGATCAAGGTAATAATTTCACCTGATTTTGAATCACTTCAGTTGTTTCATCAGTCTGACATACATTATCAACTAAATCCATTCTTTCCTGGGCATCTGTTGTCAGTTTCTCTAGTGAAGATTTGAGTTCCTTGTTACTTTGTTCACTCGTCTTTAGCTGTTTCTTGATTGTTTTCACACTTTCAAGCAGTTCAATGTGCTCTCCATTTGTCTTGGCAAGTGTTTCTTGGAGTTTCTACAAAGATCATTTAATTATTTGATGATAAGTACATGCATTGGTATAATTATTTGCTTTGCGATGTAGAATGTTATTGATTTGCTGTCATTTAATACCTGATTTTGCAGCCTCAGATCTTGAAGATTCTTTTCTGTAGGTGTTCGTCTCTTCTCCTTGAGTTTTTTAAGTTCTGCTTTCATATTATCTAATTTGCTAGATGTATCCTGTAGAGAATTGCAAAAATCTACAATTACTATCTTTATGATTTTTTTCTCATTTTGCATTGAACATRGAATAATTGCTCTTACAGGTTCACAATTAAAAGTTTGAATCGATAAAATTCTTTACTACTCTTAACCAATATTTATGATTAATAATAAATTGATAATTATTATCAATAATCATTGTAGTCTTAATAAACAACCTACTTTGCAAGTTTGTTGCAATTGCTTGTTTT